CCCCCCCCCCCCCCCCCCCCCGCAACTTCATGCTCAAACACGGCGACGAATACTTCACTTGCAAGATCACCGAGGAGACAACTTATTGCAACGTATGCAAAGCAGAGGGCATATCGTGCCAGTGGTGTAGGGGTCCTTGCGATGTCCAGGGACCTTGTGATGACCTCCGACGCTACACAAACACGACCCAGCCATGTCCTCCCGACCATTCACAACGAGGTGTGAACAGCAATGACGAGAACACGATAAACTGGATTCTTAGCAGCGACACGGAGGGCGAAGTTTGGGACGCGGCAGCCGCAGAATTCGGCGCCCCCAGGGAAAAGATGAACATTGCCAAGTTACAGTCGATAGGCACGTTGGACTCGTCATGCTCCAGAGATGCCGTCTATAACGGCATAGAGCACATGACAGCCTCGTGCTACTACCGTAACGTTTGTTTTGATGCACCTCAAGTTGAGGGATTCAACACGGACGACGTCACCAAGCCGAGGATATTGTCGAGTCGGTCAGCATGTCAATCCTGCTCATACGCGACTCGGTCGACTTAATGGAGAATGTGGTGGATATGGGGAAGGAGCTGGAGGAAATCGACAAAAAGTCCTTCATTCTCAACCTTCTGTCTGCCATCTCCCTTGTCGTCTCCATGGGCGGTTCAACTACTGCTTCTGCTGGTCTGACATCTCTGGGCCGAGCGTTTGTGGTCATTGCCGAGGGCGCAGTCATCGGAGTGGGAATCTTCGACATGGTTCAGACGACGTCAGCGATCCCTCTTGACCTTTTTGGAATTCTGTTCAGCGTCAAGGGTATCCGCGACGTCAGTAACGCCCGTAAGGCTGCCTTAGCCCGACGTGCAATGCCTCACGCAGACATCGCTCGAATTAGCACAAAGGTTGCCGCCGAATTGGAACAGATCTCCTGGGTGAATAGCTGAAATGCTCGGGGTTGGATATGCCTTCGTTACAAGTAGAGCAGAACTTGCCTGTCGCATGAAATCAACGTGTCCTGAAGCGGGTTCGGACCTGCTTCAAATTTGATCAATGAAGACAGATTGATGCGATGGATCACTTACGGAGCGCTGGCTGACAGTACGTAAAGGCTGGCTGGAAAAGGTCAGAAGACGAGAGATGCAAGGGTGGCGAAAGGGCTGGATTCATTGACCCCTAGGGAATAGTTACCTTCCAAACACCATTTCCAAATTTCCCCCTGAATCTGAAGCCTTGCAGACACTTCTGAACTTGACACTGTGGATGTTGAATCCAGTGTCTCTAGCGGAATTCCCCAAGCGAGTGAGGCTCGTCGCCGCTGCCCTTGCCATACTGCCCATACTATCCTCACCCATGCCCTATTTCCTCCTCGTATTTCCTTCCTTGTCTTTTGTGCCCTTCTCGCGTCGTATTCAGTGATTGCTGAAGAGTATTCGGGAGCAACAATGTGCGCGCACCCGGGCATCAAAATTCTGATCCGTAAAGAGAAATCGGATCTGATCAGATGCACTCAGACTTCTCAAACAGTGTAGTAGAAAGTCGGCTCGTTGTCTCCCAGTTCATCGATCTCCTCCTGCGTTTTTCCATCCAACCGATAGTTTCTCTTGCCTTGGATACGTTTCAGGTTCTCTCTACTGAGTAGTGCCATCATCGTCAGACTCCCCACACATAGACAGAGGGCCATGAACGCTATGACAATGGCATGGCCCTCAATGAACAAGGGGGGTTTGCGGTAAGTGAACGAGCTGAGGATACCGCTGAGGTTTCCCCACCCGATGACAAACCCCAATACCACGCCACGCTTGTACACTCCCTGGGTGTTGTTCGCGATCCAGGTAATGGTGTTGCTGACGCACGGGTACAGACCCATCACCCCAAGACAAGTGCCGATGTACTTGATCTTAGGGCTATCCGCCGCAAGAATCATTGAAAAGCCGGCTATACCGACCATGCTCACGAAGACGTTGCAGATACCACGCACCCTGAATTTATCGGCTAGCCATCCCATGAAGACCGTAAACACCGCGGCGGCGGCGTAGGGGGGCACCGTCCAGAGTTGGGATTGAATCGTCCTAGTGTTCAACCCAAGATCGTCGATGATCGTCGGCAGAAAGAGGGTGACTGCGAACAGAGGCATGTCGCAACCCATGTAAATCGCCATTGACATCCACGTCTTCCAATCGCGCATGGCCTGCCAAAAGTACAAAGTCTTGAAGCTTTCTGGGCGGGCGGTGGCCTGCTGGTCTTTTTCCAAACGGGCACGGAGACGATGTCTGTCTTCGTCGGATAAAAACGTGGCCTCTGCCGGAAAGTCATGAACCATCCAAAAAGACGCTATCCCGAGGACGAAGGTCAGAAGGCCTTCGATGATGAAAATCCAAGACCATCCGGGGCGGTTTCCGACGCCGTGCATGTGCTGAATTCCTGCCGCGAGCGCGCCTCCAAAAGATCCGGAGAGCGCGGCTGCTGAGAAGAAAATGGCCTTGAGATATTAGCAGAGACGATCAAAAAGAAGTAACGAACCTTACAGCTCGGAGACCGAATTCGTCTCGACGATACCAGCAAGAAAGATAATAGTTCACGCCGGGGAACATGCCAGCTTCGGTGAGTCCTAGGAACCACCGCCCCGCCATCAGTCCACTCCAATTGTACACAAATCCCATGAGGGTCATACATGTTCCCCAAAGCATCCTATCTTGTCAGTGTACACAACAAACGTACCACTCGTTACTGGTAGTGTCTCTTTCTGACGTACATGGTAACCGGAATGAACACAGATGGCTTGTGTTTCTTGAGTAAGATGTTCGTCAACGGCTCAAATATAGAGTAAGAGACGAAGAAGATAGCCAGAGCGGCATTGTATTGTCCGTCGCTGAGCTCCAAGTCCTCGTTCATGCCCGCGATCTTTGCGTTTCCAATGTTTGTGCGGTCGAGAAAAGCAAGGAGGTAGAGAATACATAGCTCAAAAATGTGTAAGTCATTGTGGTTTCTCTGTGGGGAGAGACTCTACCCATGGGATGAGCTTCCAGTCCAGACGTCGAAGCAATCTCCGATCCTAAATTTCTGTCAATTGACTGGAAGAAGACGTGCGTAGTAACACTCATTACCGCGGCCCGCTCCGCTTCGCTTAGACCCTCATCGGGATTGGAAGGAAAGCCGGCGTTCGACACATGTCTAGCGGTGGCCTTTTCGCTCGCATCGTTGTCGGCCGCAGCTTTGGCAGCTTCTGCGGCCGTAGCTTTGTCGCCCTCATACTCGTGAAAGTTGACACCGCGTGCCGGGTCCCAGACCAGGTTGATGTCCATTTCGTTGGGATTACACACTCAATCAACGGTGATTGAACGGTCAGTGAGTTGCGCGACCAGTATCTTTGTGGATACTAGAAGCGGTAATCGACATCTTCGGGATTGAGATGAGCAACTCTCAGGGCAATAATCCATGACCTGACTATGGAATGGCAGTATTCTTATAGGATTCGTTCCCTGTGAGGGCTACACGATGTCATGTACACGGCCAGAGAGGTTTCGACCGACGGACCAACATCATGCAACTCATGGTGACAACTTGTGACGGCTTGAACTTAACACAGATTGATATGATAACTTACGCCTTACACGCTCGATCTTATAAGATGATTACGAGGCGAGTTCCTGAGGCGTCTTTGGGTCAATTACATAGACTAACAATCGACACTTTCATCAGGTGAATTTTCAAGTGCAGATCGCCCTGTGTGAAGTAATTTTCCATAAAATACAAACACGTCGGTACAACATAATTTCTAACTTCATCCGGTAATGTTGACGGATGTAATTGGAAAAGAGAATGTGGGGGCATCCGTCAAGGTAGCGCGGCTCACTGTTCACGTGGCCGTCACTTTCAAATCGTGGGGTCATAAGCGAGCCGAAAGGGACAATGTTTTTGCAAAGTTTTCTTTAACATGTGACAGCTTACCAACAGCTTCCAAACTTCGGTACTTGAGCTTATTTTGCATCATTTTGTTCAAGCTGGCCACGTTTCGGGCCTTTAAAGCCGGTCACCGTTCGCCAGTCTCCATGGTTCAACGCCTTGTCAATTTCGCGCAATTCGAGCACTGCATATCGGCCTATCGGTCAAGAACCCTTATAAGTTCGCAATTGTACTTGATTGGCGGTTGTACTGTTGCGATCTGGCCCCCTCGAGGCTGACGCCATCTTACTGACGTGGACGATCGGCTCAAATGCCAACACAACAGAGTTGAACCCCACATTTCGAAAGCCTCGAAATTGGTAATGATGTGGTCATTCAGCCAGTTCTCTCACATTGACTGAGCAATGTGTCACAAGGAGGCTGCCCAGAGGCGGCAGCCGCTTGATTTCATGGGAGTTGTAATCTAATTGCAGCAGACTCAGATGATAAACGGCCATTATATGGCTTCCGTCTTTGGAAGTCCTTCCGGCCAACTTTAGAACGGAGCTTAAGAACATCTCCATTTCCCGCCGCAAAGCCATCCCATCGCCTTGTGGATTGCAAGGCCGCAAAGGCGAAAGCCTCAATGTAAATAACAGCTTTGTTTCCACGTGATGATGGAACTTCATCCCAGCCAACCTTGTGCCCACAAGGCGGTCGCTAAGTGGTCGGATGTTAGGAGCCACAACATGTTGCACAGCTGAGGCGTGATATGATGAAAACGAGGTCGAGTGGCGGAGCGGTGGCGTATCGGTTGCGGATTTGTCGGCAACGTCCAATCTGATATCAATTCATTTCTAGAATTGGTAATCCCCTCCGGTCAGCTCTACCAATCCCGAGACACGACTCCCCGGTATCGCATTTTCCCACTTCGAAGCTTTTCCATAGCCTCGTTGATCCCGCTCTCCGTGAAAGCAAAAGACTCGATGACAGGGAGCACCTTGTGTGCTGCCGCAAAGTCCAACATTTCTTGGTGCAAAGGAGGCGAGCACGGCAAACTACCGCGAACCGAAATTGCATTCATCACCAGATCCATGTACGAGACTTTCAAATCCTCCGGATCAACCGTCATTGCGAAAATGGCTCCACCTCGCCGGAGCATTGGAACGATAGCCTTCCAGTCCGGCTGTTGGGAACCAGCGAGCAAGATGACATCCAGCAGCTTCAGCCCTTCGGGACTGCTCCCGGACTTCGCTCCGCTCAGGCAGACAAACTCAGAGGCGCCGAAGCTCCGAGAGTCGGCCTCTTTGCCCGGGGAGTGGGACATTGCCACCACATGGCCACCCATTTGTTCGGCGAACTGGATGGCCAGGTGGCCGAGGCCGCCGACTCCCAGGACACCTACCCGTGAGCCATTATGGATCTGGGCGGCTTTAAGTGCAGAATACACGGCCGCGCCGGCACACATCAACGGGGCTGCTTGAGCAGACGAGATGGAGTCCGGGACCTTGAATAGAAATGACTGGTTCCTTATAGCGTGAGATGCAAAGGAGCCTTGATCTAGGTTCGACATGCCATACAGCTGGCGCTGGTCGCAGTAGACATGCTTCCCGTTCCGGCAATAATGGCACAAGGCACAGCTTCCATGGCAATAGCCCCATCCAACACGGTCGCCACTGCAATGACAGTCAGCACCAGAACTTTATTCGCGAAGGCTCTTGATGACCACTTACATCTTCAGATCTTTGACTGCTCCGCCTACACTTTCGACCACGCCGACCCCCTCGTGGCCTAGAACCATGTCCTGGGTCTTGTAATGTTCATCCGTACCACATAGCCCGGAGTGGGTGATTTTGACAAGAACTTGATCAGGTTTCAAGATATCCTTGTTTGTTGGAATATGGTGTTCAACAACCTTTCCGTTGGCAGAACCCTTGTACACGGTAGTAGTGGTAGCGGTGGACATGATGGAGGGCTTGTTTTGAAAGATATTTGTGAACAAGTAATTGATAGTCAATTGATAACGCACATGGCTTCTGACCACGGTTTTATCTCAAGTCCTCAGACATCTTTATATTCGCAGTAGCTATTCGAACACGATGGCCTCGGAAAACACTTGTCATATCGCAGGGAATTGTTTCGTTGCTTGATGCCGTCACCCCCAGCAACGTGCCTGACAATGACACAGAGCCGTGGACTAAAGATCAACAAAGATCCCCCACATGCTGTCAAATTGGCGAATGATTGCCTAGACGTGGCCCGAGTTCTTGCAAGGCTTTTGTGACTCGCAATAACCCGATGCTCTCGGGCCCGGGTTGCAGTCGCCTGATTGGTCACTTTGAAAGCAGTTTGCTTTTGAATTGGCCAACGGAAGGGTTCGTCAACATCGCCGTCCAAAATTGAGCCCACAATGTGGATTGACAATACTCTGGCGATGAAGTTTCGGGATCGCACGAGAAAGAATTGTCGCATACGTGGGGATAGATGAAAGAGGTTATAAGAAGGCTCCTCTACGATGGCTCGAACCCCAATCCTGTCGTGACATCCAGAGACACATTCTTCAAATAGTTACAAACTACACGCCATACCATCTTGCAATCGCCCACCATGCCTACCGAAGAAGAGCAGACCAACATGAATGTCATTGCGGAGTACTTTGCAGAGTACTGGGGCAAAGGCAATGCAGACATCGTGGACAAACTCTGCGCGGACAACTTTGTCATCAACTACCCCATGCATGGCCCCCGATACGGGAAGGAAGCAGCGAAGAAGATGCTTCGGGAGTTCAAAGAGGTAATTGCTGTTTTCCAAAAGCTCCCTATTCAAATCTTCTAGTTCTGATACTCTGGGCAACAGGCATTTCCCGACATCTCGTTCCATGCCTATCAACACCCTCTCATCGCCAGCGGTCCGTACGTCGTCGGTCGATGGATTGGTGGAGGAACGCACACTGGTGTGGCTTTTCATGACCTGGCGGTCGGTGCGCTGGACCAGCCTAACACGGGCAAGAAGATGTACTTCTCAGGTACCACAATCTTCACTCTGAAAGACGGCAAGATTGTGGACGAGACGGGAGAAGAAGGGGCTTTGACGGCGCTTCAGCAACTGGGACTTATTCAGGGACCGAATGCGGGGAAAGAGATCAATTATCTCCACGAGTAATTGGAATACAGCTGGTGTTGGTTGGTCCTAGGCGAGTTTTAGCAGCGCAATAGAGCCCAGGCATTCTCTCCACAGCACTGACTCAGCCCCGGTGAAACCATAAAGGGAGCCCATGCCCCAGCTGTCTGTTGATGAATTTCAAACAAAGCATCCTCACTGCAACAACCACTGACCACCACCATCTCTCATGTCCTTCGTAACAGATCAAACACGTTGGCAAGCCCTCTGCAACAGAACACCAGCCGCTCACGCATCATTTATCTACGGGGTCCTCACAACTCGCATTTTCTGCCGTCCAACATGCCCAGCACGCCTCGCACGCCGAGCCAACGTCGTCTTCTTCGACGCCGCTGATGACGCCGTCCGTGCAGGCTTCAGGCCCTGCAAGCGCTGTAAACCCGACTCGGCAACCCCCGAACGGCGCAACCAGGAGGTGGTCCAGCGAGCGTGCGGCATCATACGAGAACGTAATGGGGCAGTCACTCCGGCAGAAGCCGCGAAGCTGGTTGGGCTGTCGTACCGATACTTTCATGGGGTATTCAAAGAGTTCACCGGCGTGACGCCGGCACATTTCGCCAGGCAGTCCAGAGAAGAGCAACTCGGAGATGCAGTAGGGTCTGCAAGCGTAAACACGCCGCCGGCCGCGACTTCAATGCACACAACAGCGATGCCTAAGACGAGCAATGAACTGTGTATGAACAACAGCCTTAACCCGGCAGAAAGCGGCTACAAAGAAGGCTCTTCGGAAAACCCCGAATTAGAAAAGGATTTGGACTTGATCTGGCAAGAAATATGCCAGGATGACGGCCACGCTCTTTGGGGTCAGGTAGATGAGACTCTCAATGGCGAAGTGCCATGGAATGAGTGGCTATCAGCTACTTATCAGGTGAACGACGTAGGTATCCAGGATTCCGAATGGATAATATAGAGTATTAGCCTGCTCAAATGGGGTTCTCTCCTCTGGTAGCTGTGACGACTCGCGATACCATGTGCCTGGGTCGCTTTGAGGGCCGGATGCGGTAATGGTGCAACGTAGGCCGGGAGCTGAAGCCGGCCCGTCCCGGGCTCCCAGAGGCTAGGCAACCTGGCAACTAGGATATCAAAACAGACAAGACAGGCGTTGCAGCATGCACCAATCTTCCATCCAGCGCCACATACGTCTTGGCTAAAGATGGTATTCATGATTAGTACCAGCTGTCCCTATCACTGACGTTGTCATCGCCATCTTTATCCAAGACCACCATGTGCCTGAATAGCAACTTGCTTCCCTTTAACTCGTGCAGATGGCCGTGGTATAAGGTTTATCCTCTACGACGCCGGTTTGAAGACGATACTTCCCCTTCCATTCAAGGATGAGGAGCATCAGCCTCTGCGAGATCGTTGAAATAGGCAGGGCCTTGGTGGATGGCAGAGCTAAGGATTTGAGGGTGTAAACTTCGACACGATTGATCAAAGAACAGAGCAACATCTTCATCAATCCGCAATCAAATGGCCGAATCTGCAATACAACAGTTTTGAAGAAAGTCGGAGGCTTTCGCCCTATCAAATTAAAACATTTGCTTGGAAAGCACGCGCTTGTAGATAAAAGTATGCAGGCATGATTCGTTTTTTCCAGCATCACCATGTCAGCCGACCGCTGCTCGTCCCAATCTAATGTGACAGGTCCCTTATGCGCAGTAAATATTTCCCATAACAACGGTGCCAGCCCTTCTGCAGATGTGGGCACCCCAAGGGTCCTTGGATTTGATGCTGACATCTCTGGGTACCGTGAATTCCGGGGGCGCGTATGTATCGTGGCACTACTAACGTCAGCAGCAGACCTTGATTTGGAACTATTGCAGACTTACACAAAATGTGTGCAACCCTTGACGTTCACAATCCCCGTTGCCTTCATAGCCGTGATCACACTGCATCACGACAGCTCTTGCTAGGACAGGCGACATGAAGAATGTGGCGAGCTTCATCGCGAGTACTTTAAGTGACAGACTGCCACCGGTCGTAGTTGCGAAGTAGTAAAGATACTAATGATGATCCAACGTCTTGTGAGTAAATAGCAAACTTGACCATGGTTGAGGAACATCAGGCTGTCATATATGTGCTCGTTCACTAACACTCTTTGTCGAGTTACAACCATCAACTGCAAATGGTTGCCGATGTCAAATAAGCGTAAAGCGAGACTGAAGAGTTGAATTTGTGGTTCCGTTGATCGATATTAGCGGCTGCCAAGTACGATGTTCGATTGTCGGCCAATCCGAACTGATCGCAGCCGTCTTAGTACCGCACAGGTCCGCCACAGAGTGCTCCTCTTCGCAACTGAGACGGGTTTCCTACTCCTAAAAAATCTTCATGTGCGCTGTCCTGCGATAATTTGAGAAAGAATACTTGCGAGAAAGGAGTATCATAGAATAAAATATTCGCTCCTCATAGATGTGAATCTCCAAGTCTTGGTCCTCAGCTGACCCAGCTGACTGTCAACTTATACGTGTTCCTCCTGCAGGCCAGCATTTTTTATCGCTGACGTAGAAAACATTGCTTGCAAGTTCAAGTTCACCAATAATGGACACGCGCATGACTAGCAATACGTAGACTGACTGTGTGGGGTCTTGGAAGTGCGCGTATACGGTCAGGTTCTCCTCTATACGGCGTAGGGGCGAGAACTGCATTAAGGGTTGTTATAGACATCAATCTACGTCTGAAGTTGATCTCGTCCTGCGGACAAGCCGAATAATGCACCCATATTGGACATTTTCTCTACATTGACCATTACAAAGTCGTTGAACGTTGATATTCTGTCTAATGGTCTCAGAGGCAGGGGCATCCACAACTTAGCCACATTAAAGGGAAAAGTCCCATGATATCTCTGTGTATGTTTGATCGGGTTTTCGCCATACGCCTTGAGAAGCCAAGACCACTCCTTTCTTCACATGGGAGCCGTTGTGTCTCTCAATAATCCCTTGCTCGGACACAGATGTCTCTGATTGGCCAGCTCCAAGGGTGCGTCATTCTCGGGCCGCCAAGGACTTTACGGCCCGGGAGTAAAGTGGAGACGGGACCCGGGGAGTATCGGATGGTTCCACGGAGCGGAATATCTATCCGGCATGTTCCGATAAATCCCCCAGTCCCGCCTGCAATGCAGATCGCTGACTCACCCCAAAGCCAGTCCCAATCGGCGACAAGCCCCCCCAACCAACTAATCCCCGAAAGACATGAGGGCTTTCGGCGGACTCATCTGACGTGAGAACTTCTTCGCTGGCTCAAAGCCGATGAGCATCTAACTCGCTATCTCTTCACGTGATGATGAAAATCAACAGACAATATTAACCCTCAAACAACCCGTCTCACTCTCACCTGCATCTGCCGACAGGGATATCTCAAAAGTGAGGGGCACTCACTCCTCATCCCACCTTTCATCCCACCACCTCAACAACCCCTGCCATCTCAAGCAATGGCCAAGCGCGTGTGCATCGTCGGTACATCACCCCCGAAATCCCCGTCCTCTTTCGTACGCCGGCCCGGTCCGGCACTCTAACACGCTCCGTCAGGCGCCGGCCCCTCCGGCCTCGTCGCCGCAAAGACGCTCCTCCACAACACCCCCGCCGGCGCCTTCACCGTCACAATCTACGACGCCCAGTCCCGCATCGGCGGCCTCTGGCCCACCCGCCGCGACGACGCCTCCGGCCTCGTCCACCCGCTCATGGTCGCTAACCAGAGCCGCCACACCGTCCAGTTCAGCGACCTCGCCTGGAACCCCGACGAGCCCGAGTTCCCCCGCGCCTGGCAGATCGGCCGCTACCTCGAGCGCTACCTGGACCGCTACAAGGGCGCCGACGTGAAGCTCGGCCACCGCGTCGTCAAGACGGATCTCGCGACGGATGGCACGTGGAGTGTTACCGTTAAGTCCGACGCCGGCGGTGAGGAGACGAGCGTGTTCGACTACCTGCTCGTCAGCTCCGGCTTCTTTGGCAAGCCCATTGTCCCGGACGTTGCGGGCGAGACGGATGTGCCAGTCATCCACAGCAGCAAGTACCGCGACCTGAAGTCTCTCTTCCCTGATGGAGTGAAAGAGGGCGGCAAGATCTTGGTCGTCGGAGGCCAGATGTCCGGCGTGGAGATCTCCGGCACCATTGCAACGCACCTCTCCGCCGCCGTGAACGCACCCGATCCGGTCCCGGTTCCGAACGCGGACAAGCTCTCGGTCCATCACCTCGTCCAACGTCCGACTTGGGTCTTCCCGCTGTACACGACTCCCAAGGTATCCCACCTCTCCTCACGCTCACATCTCTCTCAACTGACACATTCCAGCCCGGCTCTCCAGCAGCCCCCTTCCTGCCCCTAGATTTCCCATCTTACAACCTCAACAACCGCCCTCATCCCCTGCAAAACAGCCAGGGCCACATCACCCCGGAGGCCGCAAAGACAACTCACACAATCTACACCACCTCCCTCGGCCAGGACCAGTCCTCCTTCTCCCCGTCCGTCGCCGTCACGCCCTCCCACCACTCCGAGCCCGCCTACCTCGCCGTCTCGGAGAACTACATGGAGTTCGTCCGCTCCGGCCTCATCACAGTCTCCAACGGCAAACTCACCTCCGTCTCCGGCACCACCGCCACAACCACAACCTCCCCCGTCGAGAACATCGCCGCCGTCATCCTCGCAACCGGCTTCGACCCCTCCCCCTGCCTCTCTTTCCTCCCCGCCCCCGTCCTCGAAACCCTCAAACACTCCCCGAACCACCCCTCCCTCCCCCTCGCTCTCTCCTTCCACGGCACCCACCTCAAAGACCTGCCCACCCTCGGCTTCGTCGGCTTCTACCGCTCTCCCTACTGGGGCGTCATGGAAATGCAAGCCCGCCTCGTCGCCGCCCTCTGGACCTCCTCCTCCACCCTTCCTCCTGCGCTCTCAAACGCCCTCCTCGACGACGCCTCCGACTGGCGCACCGTCTCCCTCCGCGACGACCCCCGCTGCTCCCAGTTCCCCATGGGCGACTACGCCTACCTCATGCAGGAATTCGCCGCCGCCCTCTCCATCCCTATCTCCCCCGCCCCGACCCCAGCAACCCCCGAGCTGCCGCACAACAACAAGCCAATGGACATCCTCACCCCGGCGCGCTACCTCTCCCCGCTCGCCTCCCCCGAGGCCGAGGCCGAAGCCGCCGCCTCGCTGGCGCAGACCCACGCCACCGCGGTCGCGGGGCTGACCACCCCGCGCTTCGTCGCCAAGGCCGTCTTCCGCAGTTTGCTCGGCACATGGTCCCTCGAGCGCTCCCTCACAAGCCGTCTGCCGACGCACCCTAGCGGTCACTTCAGCGGCACCGCGCGGTTTCTGCTGCGCGACAAGACCGCCGACGGGCTCAAGTGCGTGTCGGGCTCTGCGCCGGGAGAGGATTCTGAGGATGAGGGGCTGGCGACGGAGTACCTCTACATCGAAGACGGGGAGTTCCGCGCCGACAACGGGTTAGTGTTCAGGGCTACGCGGAGGTACGTATGGCGGTATGATGAGAAGAAGGACTGTATCAGTGTGTGGTTCGTCAAAACGGATGATGCGAAGAGGGCGGACTACCTCTTCCACGAGATTGAGTTCTTGCCGCCCAAGGGAGAGGATGCCAAGGGATGGAAGGCGCAGGCTGGGCATCTCTGCATTGATGATTTCTATAACGTGAACTATGATTTTACGTTCCAGAGTGTGAATTTGAAGGAGTGGAATATTGGGTATACGGTGAACGGGCCGAAGAAGGATTACACGATAGCTGGAGTGTATAGACGACAGACATAGACAGATATCACAGCCGGCAGCATATTAGAATTCAATTTGATGAAAGCTTCATTTTGAGGGAAGTTTCTCAGGTACAAGTAGAGTGCTGTCCGGTTCGTTCCTGATTTTGAATGCTACTAATGATATTTATGTGTATGCTTACCTACCAACACAGTGTTATCAGGTTTTCTCTCCATCACCTAAGGCAAGCCTCAACGTGGCTCAATGTCAATCCTCGTAGTTCCCAAAGCGCCTTCTGCAAGTTGAACAACGGTTCCTGTGCCCGCCAGTTCCTGCTCTTGCTCTGTTAAGAATCGGTAGAATCTCTTCCCCAACGGTCGGTTCGTAGAAGGTCGTGCGGAGCAGGCAGTGACGACTCTAGTTAAGGTCTCTGCCGCGGATGCAGATGAAGTTTTGTCAACCCGCTAAGCATAGTCGTCGACGTCCGACATCAAGATGTCTCCGTCGCAGTCAATCTCACGCAAGCTACCATCTGCTTGTGTTGAAGCTCGTGTCATCCGTGGTTGCCTTCCGGTATTGAGAGCCCAGCACCGCCCCAAGCCTTCGGCGCTGAAAGCCCAGATAAGCATGTCGGGACCGGAATCTACCGCTAGAGCTATGATATCCGAGCAGACGTCCACATGTTGACTAAGAACATCGATTGGGAAGGAAAGGCTGTTATGAGAGCTCGCTATCGGGCGTACGGTATTGTGCCCAGCGACGAAGGACAGAATCGACGGCTTTGGCCACCACCATCTCCACTGTGCCACTGCTCCGTCGAGGTCTTCCAACGTGCCATAGAAGCTAATATCACGGAACACGTCTGGCGGTATGTTGTAGCAGACGAGAAGCTGTTTATCGACTTCCTGCAAGCCTTCTTCAGTCGTATGTGTTGCTGGAAACACAGCAACAACACGCACGCCATGCCTGAGGTCGGTACTCGCGGCGTACACAGTTGGGGCACTTGAGGTGGCGCCGGCAGGTGGTATGAACCGAGCCTTCCGTTGAAATCGGGCGGTGGAACCTCTTGGCGCGTCTGCGCCCAAATATAGTGTTTCGGTTTGAGGGTCCGTAAAAAGAACGTGTGAGCCATCACCCAGAGGAACAGCATGCGTGTTGACCCATGACTCAGCCGAACCGGACCATGATTGAAGATGATGTTCTCCGGGTCCGGGACTTTGACGTGGAGTAGGAAACGTGAATGGGTCGGCAAGTTGCTCGGTGACTGTGTGAATACTGGTAATTGACGTCCTTGGCCCGGCGGCGGTTGTTTTGAGGCTATAGACAACGGCTGTTTTATCAAAGTGTTTGAACCTTACGAACGCGTCGTATATGGGATGTGTCGTAGGACGTACAGCGGCGGTTGAGCTGATGAGCCTAAGCCACAGCGACGTATCAACTCCCGATGCTTCGGGATTGGGCGGAAGGAAGTACAGAAAGTCACTTTCTGTGGACAGAGGGAAGTGTCGAGCGAGGTCTTGGCCAGTTGGCTCGTCAACCTAGTGAAGCTCAACCGCAGACGCGCAGCCGAATGCTACACACTCGCGATGTGGACACATGGCAACGGAACGGGGCTGATCATCAGCGCCACCGACGCTGTAATAGACCCTTCGTAGAATTGGCGGTTCGCGCCACGCATGCCATTGTTGGCAGACGCAATCCTCATCTGGGTTTATGTATGAAGGTTCCGTGTCGTTGTTCGAGGGGCCTGACGGAGCCTGGGATGATGTAGTCTCCCAGCCAGATCTTTCGTAAGAGGACAGGTCACAGACCAGACCAACCTGTTCTTCGATGAGAATACCAACGGTGTGTCTTCCTAGGCTGGCATCTATTGCGCAAGCGATGATGTTCGCAGGACACAAGATTCTCGCCACGGGCCTGGGTAGGCCTCTGGGGCGGGAGCTGTCTGCTAAGGCCGACTGTGACCAACGGGAGCGACAAGGTTCGCACCGGTGATCCAGCTCGTAGATATCGAGTGTTCTGTTGTGGCTGGCCATCAAGAACCGACCGCACACACTGGTGCAGAGTTTATATGCACCTATACCATCTCGACAATCCGAAAACAGCGTTTGGCCGACCTCGACAAAAGCAGGCTGCCCGGTGGAGTACTGGCAGCAGAGAGAGCATTCCCTCGATAGCCATTTCGACATTGTCCATATTTCATCGAGATGTTGTTTCCGTTGGGAGAAGAGGCCGAGACCGAGGATGTCTTCGACGCTTGACCACCATCCGCCCCTTTTGAGCATCTGAACGAGGATCGACCGGTCGAGGCTTGCCGTGAACCAGGACCGACAGGTATGTCTTGCAGAGTTGAAGTTGCAGGGATGTAGGTAAAGGTAGACTTGGTGCAGTATCTCGACGGGAAGTCGCATGGGTGGTGTTTCCGACGTCGCGGTGGTGCGGGTGTCGTCGCATTCGGAACGTAGCACATCAGGTAGCTCGCCATCCGCGGTGGTGAGGTAATGAATGATGGGAGAAGTCATGGGGGATGTGGTATGTCAGAACGAATGTTGTTGGACGTGAAATAGAATTTGAACCCCCCGTCCGCTTCGAAGTCTAAAAGGATGATGCAGTCGACCAACTTTGCGATATGAATCGGAGGATGATGTCGCACGAGGTGGAAATGAAAGTGACATGAAGGATGGCGTCGACTTCGAACTGCCTAAAGCCGCCGCAGAAAGAAGGAGATACAAACCTTCAGGCAAAATGCCAGCGCGAACGAGGTAGGTACACCTAAAAAGGAAGGACTTACCCGCCTCTGCCTGCCAAGATGCCCACTGGTGACTTAGGGAAAGAGCAAGTACTGCGCCGGGCTGCATGGTCCACTTTTCGCCCCTGAACACGGGGCCGAGCTGTTGCCGTCAAGGCCGTGAACGCCGAAAGTGCAGAATCATTACATACACAAGAGGCAAAAGATGAAAATAAACAAACCGATCTGGGAGAATTGTCTGAAAAGCAAAAATGATCAGTGGGAGGCTTGAACTCCCGACCTTGGCATTACTCAACACGATGGATGTCGTATTAGTACCACGCTCTAACCAACTGAGCTAACCGACCTCGATGACTGGTGCGAAGCAAATATGGATGATGTAGATAGCAGCTGATGGCTGCAGCATTTCGAAGTGGAATCTCAATGATCCCATTCTCTCTGTTCCTCAGCTTCTGAGTTTCTAAGCATCGAACGCCAGGGAGCGGTACCCCTCAGCTCATCAACCTCCATCGTATTGATGGCGCGACCCAGTTCAGCGAGCTCCACCAGCGAGCCGGATTTACGTTCATTGAGCGTATCTGACATCTGCTTAAACTGGCCGATCTTATCTACGTCCTTGGTCCTCACAGCGAATGTGAACTTCTCGATGGCCTGCTGATTGACCTTTTCGTCAACCAGACACCAGATATGCCATATGTCACCTAGTCTAAACCGTTGCAAATTTCACGAATGATATGAGCTTTCTCTTGTCTATAGACAGCTAGTCTGCAATGCAAATCTGAATTCTCACTTGCAAGACTGAACAATAAAGGCAGTACCCGTCACTCCCTCGGGTGCGTTGGGGATAGTGAGCTCACACGAGCTGCCCACCTCGTAGCTAACTCTCCGTTGCTCTGAAATCAGCACGCCACCACCACCAGGTGCCTGGGAGCAACCCCCAAACGACGATCCGCTAACGGAGTCTTCAAATTGGACACGGCAGAGGGTTGCACCTGTTGCAGTGTGCACTAGCGCAGCATAGATAGCCGCCACCAGAAAATGCGAACGCGGCATCGCTGTAGCAAGTCAGGTTCAGATGCATATGCCACGCGAAGGGAGCATGAGAAGACTCACGTACGGGATGAAGTAGATGACTGATTAGCTAACTGTAATGACCCTATGGAGGAACAGGAAGTCAGGGATTGTACTCTGAGAAAAGGACAACGAGGTAATGATGATAACAGTGAAAGTGGTGAGAATCTAGCTGGAGGTCCTTACCACCGGCACTTATGGCATTAAGTACTCTCACCTGGATCATCGGTTCGGTACACCTGCTGATTCAATGCCACATTGCACGCTCGTCTCTTGTGGGGCAATTTTGATGATTTCCATAAACAGCAGGATTCAGGTTGAACATCCTTAGTAGCGGTTCGCAACACTGCTAAGAGCTGAGGTTCACGACCAAAAGCTGCGTCCAGCTTTCCCTGTCGCATGTCATACCGCGCCTCCTTTTCCTCCCCGGCTTGTTGGTGATATTTACAGCTCCGCGGCAATCGCAATGAGAATCCTTGTCTGCCTTGCGGGTTAAAGAAGATGGTCGAGCCCTATCATGGTCTAAGACCAACCTCCTGTCAATGTACTGGTTGCGTAGGTAAGGCCACAGCAGTATTAAGGTTTATCACAGCCCTGCCCCTCGGAGTTTCTTAGCTGGAACCAGCAGAAAAACACCGACGACAGAAATAGGGAGCAGGCTTTTGTCTCCGAATACATGTACATGCATTCATGTATTTGCCCGAGGACAGGCGGTCTGTCTGCAAAGGTTACTAGCAATCAATCTGTAATTTTACGATTTGACGGAAGACTGTCGATTGCAACCGCCACTCACTAGGTATGTGTAATGATCTAATCAGTATCCCAGCGGGCCGGTTCATCAAGGACAACTAACGAGAGAGTTCGTCTCAACATTCTTTAGCGCTAGATTTTGGAAGCGAGTTTCTTCCATGAGTCAGGTTCAAATGCCCATGCCTGCATATCTTGGCTGTTTCCGATCCTACCGGCCGGCCTGAGGCGGAGCGCCCGCCGCACAGCAAGGGCAAGCAGTCCGGCCACTTATTGACTTCCAAACTCCGACAATGAGTCAACTGCTTATGGACAGTTCACCTTGAATTGCGTATTTAACAAGCTTTGCTTGCGCTATATATCCTCGAAACTTGAATCGTCTTCTAGCACATCTTGTCACACTTTCTCTCAAACCATCCCTCCCTTTCATCTATCACTCACTTACATCAGGCTACAGCAGCCGTCGTTGACCGACGCCGTCGCACTATTAGAAAATGCAATTCTCTACAGTACTAGTCGTTCTCTTCGCAGGAATCGCCGTTGCAGCCCCTGCCGTTGTCGAACCTCGCCAGAACACTCAGGTACGTTAGCGATCTCACTATTTTCACGATGATCACTATGACTGATGATATACCTTACAGTGCAACTTCTGCCGCGATGATTGCTTTCGCAGTAAAGGAAGCGATGCCAACTTCAAGAAGTGCCTAAACACTTGCAACAAGGACCTTGGATGCACGCTTAGCCGTTGAAAGCTTTTAATGAAGGCGCAATGAATGGATCTTTAAGTTACGCCTGAGATGCTTTACCACAGCTGATACTTGAAATCAGACAAGTCTGCGGTTGATAGTGCGTGGTCAAGCTAGAATTAATAGAGACCGCCTGATTTCCTGTGTCTGCGCGGCTATTTCCGGTGTACTTGGCTACTCCTGTCGAAGACGATAATAGTAACGACGACGACGACGACGACGATGATAGAAGTGACGTCGGTGAGGTAGAGCATGGTCACAGGAAAGGTAGTCTGCATAGCACAGGAAAAATAAGCCGCCTCAATCAATTTAGGTCTTCGCTCAGCTTCAAAATCGCAAACTTGCACCTGACCATTCTGACCTCAGCTTTGCCGTGCGTTGTGGCTGCATCGGACGCCTACTTAAGAATTGAAAGTTGACTGGTGGTTTGACCGTCGTTGTCGGAATCGAAGTCGGTAGAAGGGCGCAAGTCGAGTGTTTTAGTTGAAGTGAGAAGCAATCCGTTCAATCCGAGCTCCCGGGTTACACACGGTGCCGGCCCCACCTATCCGGCGTTTGGCGCTGCGGTTGGCGCTTGGTGTTCGCATGTCTTGCTGACATCTGTCAGAGACCCTGCGTTCCATCATGTCATGTGCTTTACATTGCAGCTGTAGACTCTGTCAAGCATTCATTTAATTTCCTGCCATCGCCGTCCTTGCTTTCAATTAGCACAACTAAGAGTTGACAAGTTTGGCGACCAAGCTGGTCTCTAGTACTCCAGGCGTGACTTTGCCGATGCTGCTCGCGAGGCTGATCGAAACATTACGATAGCAAAGGTTCTTCAGCTTCGGACAGGATATATCTACGAATGTCTAATAACGCCACATAGTTCATATAATTAATAATGATAGAGTAACATTATTTGAAAAGTCCCCGTAAGGAGTTGGGGAGAGGCGCCCGAGTCTGGAATCGTTCAGCCGAAAACAAGTGGTCCGTTCGGACGAGGCCAATAAGCTCTACAGACATTCCTTCATACTCAACTCACGGCGACCGGTCGCGGGTGGGCTTTTGGTGGTCGCGAGCCTTCCGTTTTGATGCGGAAGACGAAGAGGGAAGGCACGTCGAGCCTCCTGCTAGTGGCCAGCAGGACTTGGCGAACAATCCTAGACACGAGAGTAGCATCAAACTTTCCCGTCAACAACCCAAAGCACAATCATCGGCGTTGACGCGTTTAATCTGCTTCCACCACTTGAGCTTCACAGCAAAAATGGCCAAAAACCCCATGCTGAGAACGCGAGCACGCCCTTCCATCAGCTGTGGGTCCGGTCCGGCTGACTCGACTGCTCCTACAGATGAACTCGCAGGCTACTCCAAATTGGAATCTCACCGCGAGCATCAAAAGCACAGATGCGGTATCGCGCCGCGGTACTTCGATGTCGGTAAAGACTTCATGGCGAGCCGCGCCGTCTCAATCCTCCATGCGCGGCCCTGTCCTCGCCATCGGTGGTGCGCCAGCGGTCCGGCCGGTCCGGGGCGATCAAGGTGAACGATTCAGGCGATTGTCGGCTCCTCGAAGCCACCCCGGTTGGTTTGGCATGCGGTAAGCCGCCTCCCTTTCCTCGATACTGCTTGGCGTTGGCGCAAAGGTCGAACGTGACTGGCTGACCTTCTCCAAAAGAGATAGAGCCAAGAGAAGTCCCTCGTCATCCCGGCTGGGCGTGGCTAGGAAGATAAACTCTTTTAGATTCCAGCGTGCTAGCGGCACTGCGACGGCACCACTACCGCCGACCACGAGGCGCGGAGACGCGGGTACCGCAAGTCGCGAGCTCCGACTTTTAGACACGGCGCTCGCTCCACCAACACCCGCTGCCTGCAGCGGTGCAGCGATAGTCAACAGCCTTCCGAATCGAAAGCACCCATGACCACCAAACCCTTAGATCATCGATATCCGCGACAACGGTCTGGGTTTTGGGCAGCAACCACGAGAACCCAAGCCCGCGTAACCCTCCAAGTTTGGAGGCGCCAACGCTCGCCATCCCACGCTATCCACACGCAAGCCTTCACCTGCTTCGTCTCTCTCGCTGGATGCACTCCCCCCTCCGCTTATTACCATCCCGACAAACTCCCGCCATCTTGGCTCATCTCTCAGAGTGCGTTTTTGACCCCTGTTATCGTAAGATGCTCTGTCATCGAGCCCCTTGAAGGACGCGATAGTCCCTTGGTCCACACA